GAGAAGCTGGTGCTGCCAAGACCGAGCACACCTCCAAAGACACCAAGGGTCGAACCACCGACCAGGGTTTCGGTCATTCAAAGGGTTCCTTCACAAAGCCAATCGACGTCCAGAAGGGAAGATAAAATCGAGATACCACAAACTCAAGAACCGGAACAGGTAACTCTATCTCTTTGTTTGTGCTATTTCTTCTTCACGCTTTTTGACTTATGTGTTCTCTCTAATGCTACCTGTTTGTCCTTTTGCAAGATTCGAGATTTTATTTCAATTCCTTCGACATAAGTTTCTCTTTCAACAGTTGAATGTATGATGGTACAGATTTAGACAATTAAAGTAATTATAATATAGTAATAATATGATGATGTGGACTGTAATTCAGTTTTGGAAAGTATAAGTTAATCGTGATTTTTGAAACAGTATGGCACAGTAGTTTTGGAATTTTTAACGTGTTGTGGACTGCGGATTTTCATGCAAATTCATGATTATAATTAAGAAGATAGAAAATAGATAGAAAATTATTACATGTACAGAACACTACACTTTGGATATTTTACAAGTATATTATGTACATTCTGTGTGATTTTGAATCTTCAACATATAAAAATCCGCAGTTTAAACTAGTCAAGATCAGCTGAAAAAAAAGATTTTTAATATTTTAACAAACCTTAAGTCATCATATGTTACACAAGAAAATTTTCTACAAACTTCTGATTACAAATCACGTATACTTATGACCATCGTTACTCATTTTTCTCACGCTCACTAAAGTTTTCCAAAAATAGAAAATACAATTTAATCAAAAAATGAACAAAATATATATATATATATATGTAAGAGTTAATCGCACGAATATTTCTCCCATCTTTCGAACTCTCACATACAATCACAATGACGAGCAGCTCGCTTCGTTGGTTACTCATAAATCGAGGCTTGACTTTCTTGTCTGAGCGCGTTCCCCTCGCGTACAGTCAACATCATTAGCAGGGAGAATTTTCTGAATATATATTACACGTGTGCATATGTTAATGAATACTGATCGAGCGATACTCGGAGGTGCGTAACATTGGACGTTATCCACCTTTGCAGGAGCAGCCAATTGATTACGCCGTGCCTAAGAGAAAGGAGGAGGACGAAGAACGAGGCCGCGAAGGTGCAAAAGTGTCGCGCGCGATCGGCAATTCGATCGCTAGGCCTCTTTTGAACATGAGACTGTCCGGGCCCCAAATAGTCCACGCTGCTGCCGGTCATGGAAGAACGTCAAATTCCGGTAGCAGCGGTAGTTCAGGCTCCAGCGGCGGCTCAAGCAATTCTGGGAATTCATCTTCGTCAAATTCGGGCGGAAGTGGCAGCTATTGCGGCGGTGGTGCTGTCACAGGTGGAAGCGGAGGTGGCGGTGCTGTTGGTGGCGGCGCAGGAGGCGGTATGAATCCTGGGGGGAACGGCGGTCGTGGAAACTATGGGCCAAGTTCGCCACCTACTGGTTCCTTGCCACCTTTCTACGAGTCACTGAAGGGCGGGAACAACTTAGCAAATTTCGCAAATCAGTATAACAGCACTCAAGGTATGATAAGATCATAGAATCGATCTTAAACGTAATTAGTAGATTGTTTTCAAATTTGACTAACGCAATCACGACAGTCGCGCCTTATTAAAATGAAATCTAAAAATGTTCGTGCACCTTAGTGTACACATGTCATATATTTTGTAATATATTTAAATGTAATCGCAACATACGCGTATAAGAAGTTAATATAAAATGATGTGAAATAGTGAAATTTTGAAGCAATAATTTATCATCAATTTGCTATACTTTTCACTTTATAAAGTTGATCAATGTGGCTTACCAGTTGAGATAATTATATACAATGAACATATAAGAAGGAATGATTTCTTATCTTCAATTTTTCAAACGTTACTCATATTTTTATTATCCAAACTAACAGGGTGAAGTGAAAAATGTAGCTACGAGATGCCACCGTAACATGCAAAAATGTATAAAATACTCAAAATATATTACCAGTTGCAACATTTGATAAGCGAAACGAATCATTGTTTAGATCGTGTTTCTTCAATCGTGTTCAAATCATACGAACCTGCTTAAATAGCCGCAGTCTACTGATAAAACTCTCTATCGATGAAATACGAATAAATACGAATAATTGTCTCAGGAAATGGTTACCTGATACCATCGCCGGCAGTAGGGATGGAGTGCGACGCTGGCCAGCAAGATGTGAACTCGCAGCATTCGCAGTACAATGCCCAAGAGGGCAAACAGTACTCCCTGCTGCAGAATGTTTGCGCGTCGTATGGCCTGACATTGAAGGAGGAGGAAGATCTGTCGCCTTACAAGATCCAGGCGAACGATTTGCTGTCTGGACAATACGGGGCTTACGACGTAACTGATACCGGAATGATGGTGGACATGGTAACCGGTGCTGTTGTGGATCCTCTTCAATTCACCGCCACTTTAACCTTCAGTTCACCGTCGGATCACACCGCTCTCCTCGAGAGTTTGAGCGACGCTGCTGATTTGTTTCTACCAAGGCTACCGACTGAGGACGGCAGCAACGATCTTCTCGAGGAATCGCTGCATTCGCCAGCCTCGGCTGCAAGCGGGATCGCTCAGGATGGAGGTCAAATGACAACACCTGTCGAACCGAGTGTCGATCCTTTCCCGGAACATAACATGGCTTTGACGAGGGGTTTCGACACGTCGAGGTAACTGTTCGCCATCGATTTCTCGTAATCGAGCACACACATGTTTATAAAAATATACGAATAGTAATTGACGAACGGACAAGAATAACGGAGCAGTAAAAATCAAACTAGAAATTCTTATTTCGCGTGTAGTAAAAGGAATCTAAATTTCGACTCCTAGAGAAGCCAAAGTTTCGTTCAGACCAAACGTGTTTAAACTGCGTATTTAAAACGTTTACATATTTTGATTTGCTTTGACTTCGTTTGGTCTGTTTTTTTTTTTAATTTTTTGGGACAAAGCCCGACGTCTATCATGTAATTGGCGAGCTCTGATTGCTAGGGCCCTCTACATTGATTGCTTAAAAGCACGTTTGAATTTGATTTATAAAATATCAAAATATAAAATATCTCTCTCCTTCTCTTTCTCTGTAATTTCTCAAACCGAGTAATTTATAGTTATTAGTCAAACTCGGTTTGTCTTATCGTCGAGGAATTAATGAAGACAGCCAATCAGACATTAAACATGAGATTTTGTGAAGTTTCCAATTGAACTGGACATTAAACCGTGAAAAAATTTGTATTATCGTAGGAAG